AATTTGTGTTCAATGTAAACAACCATCACCTACTGGGAAGAGAGAAGTACCAAGCTGAACGAGATGGCTGTAAATACATTCTGCAGCCTACAAGCAGACTAAAATAGTGCCAAAAATCGATGTTGTTGTTCCAAATTCCTCTTTCGCTGTTGAAATCCTTGTCCATGGGAGAAATCCCAGATGGTGCAACTAGAATTGAACGGAAATGTCTAGGAAGGTAAGGCCTAGGCTACCATTTTGCAGGTATACAAACGTATTTTGTCACATGTTTTTTCAAATCTCACATACTTCTCATTTCTCCTGAGATAATATGCTGTCATTTCACAAGAAATACTGATTGCTATCATCAMCACTTCCTCTGTGTAACTTGTTAAATGTAGAAAGTCTCACCTATTGCTTATCTTGAATATTTAAATGTTCTGATCAATTAAGTAGATAAAATATAAGTGCTTGTACAATCAGCTTTTTTGTCTTACCACTGCATATGCATTTGTGAAAATAAAATATATTTTAGCACAGAGCAAATGAGTTCTATTTGTTTTAGCTAATGTGACCTGTCTTGTTCTGCTGTGTGTGCAGGGAAGGTCTGTAATGGGATACATATGTACACAAACATATTATCCCCTCTGTAATTATACTGCAGTTATGATTTTTGCCTGCCTGCCCAGTCCTGCCTCTGTTTTTGTTGTTTTGCTTTCCACAGTTATTTCTCATGCCAAGTTCTCAATCACCACTCTGCTCCTGTCACAACCAGTACTAATTACTGATCCACCGCTCCCCCTCCCTCCTGCAATCAGCTCATTCCATTCACCTGTTCCCCTCAGTATATTTTCCTGCTCTCACCCTCACTTCCCTGCCAGTTTGTAATCAGCCTTGTACTGTTTCTTACCAGCGGTTCTTGTCCTCATACCTTGCTCTCGTCTTGTGGTCTTGATCCCCTGCCTGTCCTTTGGTCTCCTGATTCTTGCCTCAGCCMCTATTGCATTTGTCCAGCCATCTGTCCTCCTGGTTTTGACCCCAGTTCTGTGTTTTGGATTATCGTCTCTTGTCTCTCCCCTTGCTGGCATCACTGCACCTCAGATCACCTGGTTTGTGATCCATGCCTGTCCCACGGATTTTCGGACCCCGCTCAGCCCCTTGGTTCTGGTAAACAAASCTCTCTTTCTGGATTTGACCCCTGCCTGTCCCCCGACTCTGCCTTTGCTCAACCAACCTAAACAGTCAGCTGATCTTTTTGGTGACTTCAAGATCCAGCACCAAATCCTAGTGATGGGCAAACGAAGCTTTTCTGAAGCACTGAAGCTTGCTTTGAAAAAGGGTTCATTAC